TAATAATTTAATGTATACCCAATCCTTAATCTAAATTCAATACATATAGGAAACTATCTAAATGCAATCCCTCTTAAGCATTTTGACAAACACCTTGTATGCATTATTTTTCTAACAAGTATTAACAAGGCTTAAAATCTTTAAATTTTCTACCCAATCAATATATACAAATTTAAAACTATCTAAACACAATTCTTCAATAAAAATTTAAACAGCAACCTCAGAAACCAATTCAAAACTCCTCAAGCTACTCAAACCCACGTACAACATACTAAACCCACAATGTAACGGTTGAATGAACTTACCTTCATTGTTCTGGCGTGCTGTCGAATCAAAGACTATCACGGCCTGCAGAGAGGACGAGGACGGTGAGCTGCTGTGCGTGTGAACTTCACGGCTTCAGCCTTGGTAATCAACGGCAAGCTGCTACAACACGGCTACTGCAGAACGCGCGATGCAATGGAGGGAGGGCTACGGCCTTGAAGAGCTAAAATTAGAAGGAGAGACCGAAAAATCTTTGAGTAGCTCACGGCTACTGCATGTAGAAGACGAAAATGAGAGGGAGAGACCGAAAAATCAAAGTTGCGGGCGAGATAGCTGCGAGCTGGAGGTTCTTCGCGGTATAGATCTGATATGAACTGATGCTAGCTGTGGGCAAATTTTTTTAAAAAATCAAGCCACTTCACGTCTGTTTACTTGAAAACAGACGTGAAGTAATGTCTTTTTCTGCTAAACAAATGTGAAGTAACGTCTGTTTCTGCTAAACAGACGTGAAGTAACGTCTGTTATGAAGAAACAGACATTAGTTCACGTCTGGTTGATGTAAACAGACGTGAATTAACGTCTGTTTTGTTTAAAACAGACATAAAGTCTCTTCTGTTTTTTAAAACAGACATAAATGAGGGAGGTAAATAACACATTTTGTTGTAGTGTGATCTTGTTGCCTCTGAGCTATACTCCCTCAAATGTCTCTTTGATGAGCCATTGGTATTCATTAAAAGTGGAGGCTTTGAAGGAAAAGGGAGAGAGAAAGAGTAGCTATTCAGCATAACTACAACTGAAGCCATGGTTGGCCTGTCAACGACATTTTCTTGAACACATAATAACCCAATATGGATGCATCTCATTATTTCATTCCTTAAAACATTGTTTAATATAGGATCTACTAAATTGAAAGTCGTCCCTTCCCTCCAATTTTTCCATGCCTGTAAGAAGTTCATCATCAATGATAAACATTAATCCCAGGTTACTTTTACAGCTACATGTGAACTAGTCATATATGTACAACAACCACAATAATAAAACTTTATCTTACTAGATGGAGTCGGCTACATCGATTGTACAATGGTATTGAGTTCTATTAACAATCAAATATTTGGTTAGGTTGTTAATTAAAAGATCTTACTTAATAGCTTTATTGAGTATTCCTTTTAACTTTCCTCTACCCCACAATCTTAATTATGTGTGTGTATTGAAAGATGACAAATACATGTATGCATGAATGAAAAGAGGCAAGTAGGGGCTTACATAGCTTAATATCTCTTTATCAAAGACACTGTTGTTCTTTTTGCCACTTAAAATCTCTAGAACCAATATGCCAAAGCTAAAAACATATGATTTGATCAAAAATTGTCCATGTATTGTATATTCTGGTGCCATATATCCACTAAACATCAAGATGAATAAGCTTAGTTAGATGTGTTAGTCATGACTAAGTATTATGATGATCAATCGATAATAAGGAGCAATATACGCACTAAGTTCCAACAATTCTACTAGTATTGCTTTGAGTTTAGTCCACAACAAATAATCTTGCGATGCCAAAATCTAATATTTTGGGATTTAATTCTTTATCTAAAAGAATATTACTTGCTTTGAGATCTTGATGAATAATACATAAACTTGAATCTCTATAAAGATAAAGAAAGCCATGAGCAATGCCTCTTATGATTTTGTAGCATATTATCCAATTCAAATGAACACGTTGATTTGAATCTGCAATATGTTCGTACCTATTTAAGGCTATGATCCATTGAAACTACGTCTACAATTAGCATTTTGATTTTCATCCAATATAAATGAAAGAATAGAGACACCATGCATCCAAATTAAGACAAAAACATCCCATTGACTTACCAAACAATAAGTAATCAATACTTCTATTGGGAAGAAACTCATATACCAATAGCCTTTCTTTCTTTTCTAAGGAGAAGCCCAATAATCTCACTAAATTGTGATGTTCGAGTTTAGCCGCCAAAAGAACTTCATTTTTAAATTCTGAATCTCCTTGGCCAGAATCCATGGACAACCTTTTAACAGCAATATCTTGCCCATTTGGAAGCTTGCCCTGCATTATTTATTAGAGTTGGGGCACGCAATTATTTAATCAATACCAGACTACACACACACATATCACACGCACACACAATGACAGTGTTGTCTGATATTTTATCTCAACATAACAATAACTTAATGTTATTTACCTTATATACTGATCCAAACCCTCCTTGTCCAAGCTTATTTGCAATAGAGAAGTTATCTGTGGCGAGTTTTATGGTGTTGAAATTGAATTGCAGTGACTCAATTGGTTTAATTTCATCATGCTCTGCTTCAGGTTGATCAGCTGAGAAAAAAAATCAAACAAAAGATGTACTTGAGCTTTTTTTTAGTTCAGAGAACATGGTTTAGTATGAAAACATTATTTTGACTGACTTTCAATTGGCTTCTTCGATCTCCGAACCGTAAAATGCAAATCAAAATAAGAATTGAAACAAAAGCTCCAATAGACACAGCCACGATTATGACTATTCTTGATGTACTGTCGCCATTCCCTACAAATTAAAGATCGGAAACCGATTAACATATTTATTGACAAGATACAGGGAGAAAATTGCAAAAATAAAATTCATATTTAATACTCCTTCTTGTTCTTTTTATGAGTAACTGAATTATGTAGATAAAAACAGTTGATTAATATTAATTAAAAGTAATACGTGTATAATTAATAAAGTGAGAGTAACTAATAATTAATGGGGAAAAATAAAAAAGTAATACTAAAAATCTTAAACAAGATATTATTGACTCTTATAAATATGTCATTTCCAAATAAATTTCTTTTACACATATATAGAGAGAGGGTCGGAGAGTAAATGCTTTCTTTGCTTCTTTGCCTAAAAAAAGAAAAAAAGAAATTGTTTTATTAAATTAGAAAGAGGAGTTAATACCTTTTGGGAAGCCACAGCTTTTGATGAATCAGCCGTTCCTGCCATGACATAAAAAGAAAAAAATAGAAATTATTTGTGGCTTAACAATTTACTCATAACTGGTGTGAATTTGAGAAATAAATCACATTTATTGATTATTCATATTAATTTACGAACAATTGATTCTTAATTAAGTATAGTATTCTTATACAGCGTTTACATTAATCAATATGGGACGAGATATTATTTGACATTTGGGCACACTTAGATACAAATTTAACATAAATAATAATTGCTCGATGGCAAGAGCTTAGATATGAGATATACATGAGTGCTATTTAGCATGTGATCGTTGGGTGAAAACTTATATAAATAAATGTCCTTTCGCTCTAAATTAAGTTGAGGTTGCACATATGTGCGCGCGCGCACACAATTAATAGGAAAATTAACTACACTATTTATAACTTATAAAATGATCGGTTTATTATTTCTGAGGTATACAAACTAACCTCGCCGATCTACAATTCAGGACCTTAAAATGCGTGCCTAATTACTTATTTTAAAGTCCCTAGGCAGTTGACTTGGGTTAAATTTTATGGTAAAATTACTTAAATATCCTTAATTTAAAATTTTAAAAAAATTAAATGACAACAAGTTCAATAAGTAATAATTTTAATTGATCAAATAACAACTACAACTAAGATACTAATTTACACAAATTTCATGGAGGGCAATTAAGTCATCTCATGAAAAAATTAGTTCCAAAATACTCCTCTGGTCCTATTTATAAGGTAGAGAGAGAGTATTTTTTTATCCTATTTATAAGTCATTTCATTAAATTTTCAATTTAAATGTATTATTTTGTCTTTCATTTATTATAGTATAGGTAGTTATCTCTTTTGAAAAAGACATATATTAAATATGGGTAAAATTGAAAATTTATTATATTTTAATGGAGAGTTAATGCATTTTAATGTTTTCTTTGGTATGTGTGAAATATACTAGAAGTGTCTTATAAATAAGATCAGAAGAGTAGTCCATAAGAGCTTCATAGAAATTAAGCTATTTTGAGTAGTTATAATCATCTTGGATTTCTCATATCTATGAGTGGTCCTTATATATGTGTGTGTGTGTGTCTTGATATATACATATTAGCATTAATAAATGAACATAGGTCGGCTTGAAGACAAGCCAGCGTTACTATGATGCTTAAATAGTCCCACGAAAGTTGTCGGCATTATTGTATTGACTTGGACAAATCTCCAACATCAATGTGATAAACATAATTTGTCATTTATATATAAAAAAGTAGACATTGGAAATATTAAAATCTCAGACATAGACTCAGAAGGAGAGAAGCCAGCTAGCTGATTAAAACATTTATATTATTGGTTACGCATTCAAATAACTTTGATATATACTAACATTTTTTTTTTCTATATTTAAATCTTCTCTTTATCTCATCCTCAAATAATAATCAAATAAATAAATACCAACCAACCTCACGTCATGCCGGGTATCTAGTGATTTTAAGGATATCTCAATTATACAAGTATATAACTATAATTATACTACAAAAAGATCAAAATTAATAAGTATTCTTACACTTTGTTTTTTTATAATTCATGTGTAGCTCGTTCTTGTGTATGATCCGTTCTATAGTTCATGAAAAATAATGTCCTGTTGATAGAAGAGTGTTATAGTTCTCTATGTTTCATTTGGGAGCGGAGGGACAGTGTCCCAAGAGCAGCTCAATGAACTGGCTTTAGGGTTGGAACTAAGTGCTGAAAAGTTCTTATGGTTGTGAGAGCCCCAAATAAATTTGCTAGTGCTGCTTACTTTGGTTCCAAAAATAGCAGTAATCCTTTAGATTATTTACCAGAAGGGTTCTTGCAGAGAACCAGAGACCAAGGTTTGGTTATTCCTTCATGGGCACCTCAGATTCAAATCCTTAGTCACAATTCCATCGGTGGATTCTTGAGTCACTGTGGTTGGAATTCCATCCTTCAGAGTTTGCAGAAAGGGGTGCCATTAATAGCATTTCCATTGTTTGCAGAGCAAAGAATGAATGCTTGTTTGTTAACTGATCTGAAGGCGGCACTGAGGCCAAAGGTTAATGAAGATGGCATAGTGAAATGGGAAGAAATTGGAGAATCAATAAAGAATTTGATGGAAGGCGAAGAAGGTAAGGAGATTTATAAAAGATTAAGGGATTTAAAAGATATTGTTGCTAATGCGCTAAAAGAAGATGGCTCTTCTGCAAAAGCACTACGTCAGGTAGCTTTGATATGGAAAAATTTGGATGGGAATCAGAAATGATAAGATTTGTTGGGGAGAATGGTCCCTGCTCCTCCGCCCTACTGCCCTCCCTGCTTCCTCCTCATTTTCATTTTCTTTCCCAATGCTTTTTTCTTGTTTCTTTTCATTACTATATTCTATATTCAATCAGTAACATTTTGATATCCTATGGGCAAAAAATGGAGCTGTTTTCAATTTTTTATGAGTTTTCAAAAATTTACATAAAAATCTATGCTGTTTACATTTGTTTTTTGAAAATTTTTGAAACATTATAAAAATTGAAAACAGCTCCATTTTTTGCTCATAAGATATCAAAATGTTACTCATTGAATTTAGAATCTAGTAATCAAAAGAAACAAGGAAAAAAAACATTTTGAAAGGGAAGGAAAAACGAGGCGGAAGCAGGGAGGACAGTAGGAATTGAGCAGCAAGCGGACACCCCTCTCCCGATTTGTTGGGTTTTATTAGTTTGCTTATTGTTTACTGCGTCCTAGTATTTCTTATTACAATACCGTTAGATGTGCTTTTAGGCCGATTCCAAACCGAAGAAAATGTTGTGAAGAATAAATAATGGAGAGAGATTTTTAGTGCTTATATTGCTTTTTTCGTTCTCCTTTTAAATTTGATATTTAGTATTTAATATTACTTGGTTGCTCTGTCCAAAAAGAAAATATTACTTGGTTGCATTTAATGGTTGGTGCAATAATGTAATACTTTACTATAAGTTTCAAATAACTAGACTTGAATTAAAAAAAAATTAAAATTAGTTAAAAGTAATAAATAAATTTTTTTATCAGAAAACTAAAAGAATACGTTAGAAATGTATTTTATTTTCAAATATGTATTTATAATAAATAGAAAAAGATAAAAGAAAATGTATATATTTGACAGTTTAATAGAAATGTCCAATTTTAAATATAGTTATTTCATTATTTTAATTATAATCGTCAACTAATTTCTTAATATTTATTTATTTTTAATATAACGAAGAAGTATTTAGGCAAATTTAAAATGCCTTTCAATTAAGTGATGAATATATTAGAACGATATTCTAGTTTTTCTTTTTCTTTTTTTAAATTAATGGAGTAGACACTAACAAACCAAGACTACAAGCGAGATCGAACCTACAACCTCCTACTTATAAAGAAATATCAATGCTACTAGATAACAAGGAGGATATTCTAGTTTTTTAAGATGTTCAGGAGTCATTGCACAAAGAAAAGGTATTTGTGGATTGTGTAATTCAGAAGGAAAAATTAATACTCCCTCTAGTACTATTTATAAGTTTCGAGAAAGAATATGTTTCAGTTTATAAGCTTCAATTTGTTATTTATATTAACATTTAATTCATTTTTCTAATTTTTTAAAATTATTTAATCTCTCTTCCTGTCATAATATCTCTTATCACATTTTCCTACACATTCTCGTCTACCATTTTTCTTATTTATTATAAGGACATATTAAAAATAAAAGTATAGGTTTAAATCTTAACTAATTTTAATTAATTGTTTGTTATTTACAAATTAATTATTTGAAACTTATATGGATTAAAAAAATAAGTGATTGAGATTTAATATTTTATAAAACTATTATATAGTATTACGTGGAAAGGAGGGGATAGACATCTATTTTTCAAAATATTGGATTTGAACCATTTATTTTTTTTATTCCATTCTATCCCTTCCTTTCTACGTAATACTATATAATAATAGTTTTATAAAATATTAAATCTCAATCACTCATTTATAAATTACCCTATAAATTAATCCACCCACATCCAAACGAACAACAAAGCAACCATAACTTACCATACGAGCCAAAATCCAAATATCACAACCTTATTGATTGCAGTTTCCATGGCGAAATCACCTCACATCGCCTTCATTTCCAGTGCAGGGTTCACCCATCTTTTCCCAGTAATCGAATTCTCAAAGCGTCTCCTTCAACTTCACCCAGATCTTCACATCACTTGCATCATTCCAATTCTCGAAACTCTTCCTTCTTCCTCTGAATCTTACCTTCAAACCCTTCCTCCAAACATTCATTCGATCCTTCTTCCTACAGTTCACAAGCACGACATGCCAGAAAATGTTCATCCTGGAGCTCAAGTTCAGCTCACAGTCACTCTCTCTTTACCATATATTCGTCAAGAATTGAAGTCCTTAATCTCCAGATCTTCCCTTGTTGCTTTGGTTACTGATTGTTTCGCACATGAAGCTCTAGATTTTGCTGCAGAGTTCAACCTTTTATCTTACATGTATCTTCCTTATGCTGCAATGATGTTCTCTGTCTACTTCTGTAACTCCATGAAGCTTGAAGATTCAGAATTCAGAGACGTACCAGAATCCGTAGAAATTCCACCTTGTATACCAGTTCGCGGCCGAGAGATCGTAGATTCACTTTATGATGGGCTTGTTCGTAAGCAATTCTTTGAACGTGCCAAGAAGCCAAGATTAATCGACGGTGTTCTGTTCAACAGTTTCTTAGAGTTAGAAACTGCGACAATTGGAAACTTGCAAGAAGAAACCAAAGGAAAGAAGCCTCAGATTTATCCGGTTGGACCCATTATACAAAGTCGATCCAATAATGAGACAAATGGGTCGAACTTGGATTGCTTAACCTGGTTGAACAATCAACCACCAAAATCTGTTCTTTATGTTTCATTTGGGAGTGGAGGAACATTATCCCAAGATCAACTCAATGAACTAACCTTTGGGTTAGAACTAAGTGGTAAGAAATTCTTGTGGGTTGTGAGACCTCCAAGTAATGATGTTAGTGCAGCTTATCTTTCTGCTTCAAGTGAGAACCCTTTAGATTTCGTACCAAATGGGTTCTTAGAGAGAACCAAAGATCAAGGTCTTGTTGTTCCTTCATGGGCACCTCAAATTCCAATCCTTAGTCACAATTCTGTTGGTGGATTCTTAAGTCACTGTGGTTGGAACTCCACAATGGAGAGTATCGTTCATGGCGTTCCAATAATAGCTTGGCCTCTGTTTGCAGAACAGAAGATGAACGCAGCCTTTTTAACAGATTGCTTGAAAGTGGCTTTATGGCCTGAGCCTAACCAGAGAGGGATGGTGGAAAGAGATGAGATAGCTAAGGTCATAATAAGATTCATGGAAGATGAAGAAGGAAGACAGGTTCTAAAACACAAATGAGCTAATGCTGTATGAAGTATCTTATTTCTTGCCTTGCGAGGTGTACAGTAAGTCACTATATATAGACAGTGAGATGTATAACAAGCAATATGGACAGAAAAGAAAAATCTAGAATGACAAAAAATCCACGTAAAAGCCCATTAGTCATTTGGGCTTTGTGATGTTCGGTGTTGGGCTTCAATACTCCCCCGCGAGTGGAACTGGGCTGGCAGCACGGTGAGACTCGATCTCAGAGTGGCAAATCTGGATGATGATAGTGGCTTAGTAAGAATGTCAGCCAGTTGATCCTTTGAAGATACATGAAGAACATTGAGAAGACCAGCAGCAAGGCGTTCTCTGACAAAGTGATAATCAAGAGCTATATGTTTAGCTCTAGAGTGGAATACAGGATTAGCAACTAGATAAGTTGCACCCAGATTATCACAATACAAAAATGGAGCTTCAGAGAGAACAATATGTAATTCATGAAGGAGTTGCTGAAGCCATATCAGATCACTGGATGCTGTAGCTATGGCTTTATATTCTGCTTCAGTACTTGATCGAGCAACAGTAGGTTGCTTCTTTGAACTCCATGCTACTAGATTAGGACCAAAATAAATGGCAAAGCCAGTTGTGGATCTTGAATCATCAACATTACCACCCCAATCAGCATCAGAGAAGGCATGTAGTTGAGATGAAGAGGATTTTCTAAGATGAAGAGCAAAATTTGAAGTACCCCGTAAATATCTGAGAATCCTCTTCACTGCAGTCCAATGATGTTCCTTGGGTTGATGCATGAATTGACATACACGATTAACAGCAAAGGTGATATCTGGCCTAGTAAAACTTAAGTACTGAAGACTACCCACTATACTTCGATAATAATGAGGATCATCAAAGTCAGTTCCACTATAAGCTGAAAGACAACTATTAGTGGCAATGGGTGTGGAGACAGGACGAGCATTTGACATGTTAGCTTTGTCAAGAAGATCTAAAATGTATTTTTGTTGAGAAAGTACTAAGCCAGAGGAGATAGATGTAACCTCAACACCTAAGAAATAATGTAAAGCACCGAGGTTCTTGACTGGAAAAGAACAGCTTAAGGCATCAACCAATTCTTGAATCACAATGGGAGAAGATCCAGTGACAATAATATCATCCACATAAATCAAAATATAAATAGTACATTTAGAATTGTGGCAAATGAACAAGGAAGAATCTGACCTTGAAGGCCGAAAACCAAGTTCAGATAATCTGGCACTAAGTCGAGCAAACCAAGCTCGTGGGGCTTGTTTGAGACCGTATATGGCTCTTTGAAGCTTACACACATGTGTTGGGTAGTCAGGATTAACAAAGCCAGGAGGTTGATGCATATAAACTTCTTCATCAAGATGACCATGGAGAAAGGCATTACTTACATCTAATTGATTAATGAACCAACCTTTTGAGAGAGCAATGGAAAGTATAAGTCGGACAGTTACGGGTTTCACTACAGGGGAGAAGGTTTCAGCAAAATCAATTCCAGGTTGTTGATGAAAACCTTTTGCCACAAGTCTAGCTTTGCACTTATCGAATGAACCATCCGCCAAAAATTTTTCTCTGAAGACCCATTTGCACCCAATGATATTCATAGAAGGAGAAGAAGGGACGAGCTCCCATGTCTGAGTAGCAAGTAAAGCTTGAAATTCATCATCTAGAGCCTTGCGCCATGACGGAGACTTGAGGGCCTGAGCAACTGAAGTAGGAACAGTAGGCATGGGACCCGAGGCATAGTGAGATGTTTTTGGGTGTACGGTGGAAACAAAATCTGGAGAGAGAGCTTTGGGTTTGAAGATATTGGCTTTAGATCTAGTAATCATGTGATGGGTAGGTTGAGGGGGTTGAGGTGATGGTGAGAACGGTGCAGAATTTGACGTTGCAGAATTTGGTGGGGAAGAGGACGAAGTAGGTGACGGCTTAGAGGAGGGAGAAGGTGACGCCAAAGTGAAAGAAGAAGGAATAGGGTTAGGTAGAGTGCTTTGACTTGGGTTAGGTATGGTGTATTCATTTGGGCTTTGACTTGGGTTACGTATGGTGTGAGCATTTGGGCTTTGTGTTGGCAAGGCATTTGGACTTAGTGATGAAGATGGGCTAGGTACCGTGTTTGGGCTAGAAATATTGGTTTGTAAGGGAAGTGAGGCAAATGGTTAAGGTAGATGGTTTGGGTTGTGTAGTGGATTGGGTTGTAAAAGGAAAGCAATTCTCATCAAATATAACATCTCTTGAAGTGTACATGCGTCCTGTAGGTAGATGAAGGCAAAGATATCCCATGTGATTTGGTGCATAGCCGAGAAACACACATAGTTGAGATCTTGGGCTTAGCTTATTTGGAGCATAGGGCCTCAAATTTGGCCAACATCCACAACCGAAAATTCTCAAAAAAGTGTAGTCAGGCTTTAAGTTGAATATCAATTCAAATGGACTTTTATTATTCAAGATTGGACTTGGAAGCCTATTGAGTAAATAAACAGCTGTATCGAAAGCATGAGTCCAGTATTTTTGTGGGACAGAAGCATGTTGCATTAGAGCTAGACCAGTTTCCACGATGGTTCTGTGTCTTCTTTCTACAGTACCATTTTGAGTGTGAGTGTGAGGACATGTAATTCTGTGATTAATGCCAAGGGAAATTAAATCCTTGTTTAATGATCGAAATTCTCCACCCCAATCTGACTGAAAAGACCTTATTTTGGAATTAAAAAAATTTTCAACTAGAGTTTTAAATTGATGAAAGACAGTGCGAAGTTCACTCTTAGATTTCAAGGGAAAAAGCCAAATATATCTGGAATAATCATCAACAAAAGAGGCATAATACTTAAAGCCGTTTACAGATAATATTGGGGAAGGACCCCAGACATCACAAAATATCAGTTGGAATGGAAAATTAGAACGATGAGATGATAAAGGAGAAGGTAGACGATGACTCTTGGAAGAACGACAAGCTGCACATTGATGAGTAAAATCTTTTGATGAAACTGGAAGAGAGTTTGACTGGAGAATTTTCTGAACAGTGCGGAGAGCTGGGTGACCGAGACGAGAATGCCAATGTGAAAGAGAGGTACGAACACCATAACAGGCTTGAGGAGAGACGGAAGGAAGAAAGGGGTACATCTTATTGTGGCTTGGAGCTTGAAGAAGAGGTCTCTTGGTCTTTTCGTCCTTCACACAAAAATAACCAGAATGAAACTCAAAAAACACATCATTATCAAAGCAAAATTGATAAACAGACATTAAATTTTTAGAAATAGTAGGAATATGTAAAAGGTCATTGAGAAGAAATTTGCCAGAAGGGGTAGGAAGAATGCCAGCTCCTTGATTCTGAATAGGCATCGCAGACCCATCACTCATCAAAACACTGTCTAAACCATAGTAAGGAGCAGAGTTGAGATTTAGATTTGAAAAATTATGAGTCATGTGGTGAGTTGCTCCAGTGTCTGGATACCATAGTGAGTCCTCCATGTTTGAATATTCAGAGTAGTGAGAGGAAAGAGATGGTGGTGGAGAGGCTTGCAAGGCATGATTAGTTCTCTGAAAGCAAGTGAGGGCAGAATGTCCAAAGCGTCTACAGAGTTGGCAAGGCACATCTTGGTCTGGTTGAAAGGAGGAGAAACGAGCACTTCCTCTGTAATTTCGTCCCCCAGTACGGCCTCTATAGGGACCACCGCGGAAAGCACGACCTCTTCCAAAGTTGTTGTTATAGCCTCTACCATAATTAAAAGTGTTGTAGCCTCTGCCAAAACCTCTTCCTGAAAAGATTCTGCCACCACGTCCTCCTCTCACAGCAGGCATGAAAGTGGTGTGGACCACTGAATTAGCCGAAATATCAGAAGAGAGAGAAACGGGGTCCTGATGAGCCATACGCTCTTCGTACTGCAGTAGATGGCTCAAAACACCTTCTATGGAAAGAAAAGCACGCTGGGTGGAAAGCACAGTAACAATAGTGTCAAATTCAGGACCTAGTCCAGCAAGAAGATAAGTAATAAAATCATCATCAGCAACGGGTTTGCCTGCGGCAGCAAGAGAATCAGCTAGAATGGTAGCTCGTTTATGATACTCAGACATAGTTTCTCCTCCTTTCTTGAGATTTGTAATTTGTTGATGCAGATGGACCAGTTTGGCTTGAGTTTGCTGAGAGAAAGAGGTTTCTAAAGCCAGCCATATAGCTCTTGAAGTTCTGTGACGAATGAACTGAGGAATAACCTTTTCAGAGAGCGAGGCAAGGAGAACAGAGAGAACAAGTTGATCTTGATGAAACCAAGTGATGTAGTCTCGATTTGGAAGACCAGAAGAAGTGAGCTTAGAAGGTTGAGGAATAGAGCCATCAATATAACCAAACAATTGTTGTCCATAAAGATAAGGCATAACTTGAGCTTTCCAAACAAGATAATTTTCCTGAGTAAGTTTGACTGTGATATAGTGGGGAAGATTAGAAGGAGGAACAGAGATAGTATTAATGGGATTGGAGGAGGAAGAGGGAGACATGGGAGAAGATGTGATTGTGGTAGTATTGAGACTAGGTGAGGAAGACATATTTTGGAACGTGGCTCTGATACCATGAAAAGACAGTAAAACACAAATGAGCTAATGCTGTATGAAGTATCTTATTTCTTGCCTTGCGAGGTGTACAGTAAGTCACTATATATAGACAGTGAGATGTATAACAAGCAATATGGACAGAAAAGAAAAATCTAGAATGACAAAAAATCCACGTAAAAGCCCATTAGTCATTTGGGCTTTGTGATGTTCGGTGTTGGGCTTCAATAGGTTCGTAAAAGAATGGAAGACTTGAAGGATTCTGCTGCTAATGCACTGAACGAAGATGGGTCCTCTACACAGACTCTGTCTCAGATTGCAATGGATTTGAGAGATAGAACATGAGGGAATTAGTGATGTTTGAATATTATATTATATGTAATTTCAATATTAAGATGAATATTTCAGGTTTTATTAGTTATTTTATAAGTGTTGAAGATTTCATATATGTGTAATATTTGCTGGTTTGCAAAAGAGATGAACAGAGGAAAACAGAGGATGAGTTCATTTTTTATGAAGCAAAAGTTGAGATTGTGACATGCAACTAAAGAGATGAAGATAAGAGAACTATGGAGGATAATAATAGCATATTCCTTTAGCCTCATTTTTCCCGGATGTGGATCCTTTCAAAAGTTAGAATTCCTCTCTCTCGTTTCAGAATCTCATATCTATTATTGAATAAAAAATAAATGGTTCAAACCCAATATTTTGAAAAATGGATGCCTGCCCCCTCCTTTCTACGTAATACTATATAATAATAATTTTATAAAATATTAAATCTGAATCACTCATTTTTTTTTAACCCAATGACAGAGATGTGGTTTTGAGAGGAATAGGAGGAAATTCAAATCCATTTTTCTTACTCGGAAGTTTTTCTTTTTCACATGAAACCTACTGAAAAATCACACTCCTTCATCCTGTCTTGAATGAAGAGCTGCTTTTTTTTCTTTTTGAATGTGGAATGGTATTAAAAGATAAAGATATTTACAGGGGATTACAATGAGTAAAAGAAAAAAGCAAAGCCAGAGAGAAACATCAAAACCTAGCAGCGGTTGTTTCTGTGAAGTCTTGCTTATATTTCCACGCTAAGTTCCAGTAGGTCCGTTCATCCTCCCAGTTGGGTTCCATGATCAGCTTATAAGCTGATCTTACTGTAAATTCACCCTTGCTTTCTGGATTGTTGCTTTGATTCAAAAGTACTATATGTTAGGGGAAAAAAGGTACCAAGACCTTTGTATTTCAATTTTCCTTTGCTTGCTCTCACTATTTAACTCATTTTTTAAGCTTCCACCCATTATAGGCATCGCAGGCTCTCAATCATTTCACTCTGTTGCATCCATCATTTCAAATTTTTTGTCTCATTCCAAGTCTCAATTACTTGAGTGTGTATGTATATGCTATTGGAAATGCCTCTGTTAAGACGAGACTTGGGTATATTTTTCTGCCTTCACTTTTCTTTGGTTAAATTGTTTTTCTTACATATCGAACCCCGGTTATCGAATGTAAAATTGGGGGAAAAAAGTCAATTATAATCTGAAAGTAAAACATGAACAAATGATAAAATAGCCGTATAACTAAGTTTAGCATGAAAAGAAATTATTGATTACTAATATACACCCAAAAGTGAAACAGAAAGAAAAGAACTTTCATAAATGAAAATTGATAAACAAACACAACAAACTAATACGGAAAAGAAAATTGAGAAATTTCAATCCTCCTTACATTGCATTTAAATTACTTTTCCATTTGAATGCAACTTCAGATAACGCCTTTGTAGAAGAACCATCTTCTTTAAGTGCATTAGCAGAAGCCTCTCTTAAATTTTTCATTCTCTTGCAAATCTCCTTACCTTCTTCACCCTCCATCAAAAGCTTTACCAGTTTAGCAATCTCTTCCCTTTCCACTATGCCATTTTCATTAACTTTAGGCCTCAATGCAACTTCTAAACCATCAGTTAACAAAACAGTATTCATTCTCTGTTCTGCAAAAAGTGGCCATGTTATTATCGGCACTCCCTTCTGTACACTCTCAAGTGTGGAGTTCCAACCACAATGACTCAAAAACCCACCAATGGAACTATGGCTAAGGATTGAAATCTGAGGTGCCCAAGAAGGAATAACAAAACCTTGCTCTCGGGTTCTCTTCAAGAAACCTTCTGGTAAGAAATCTAAAGGATTCTCATCTGTAGAACCAAGGTAAGCAGCACTCACTGAGTTACTTGGTGCTCTAAGAACCCATAAGAATTTCTGGCCACTCCTTTCCAAGCCAAAAGCTAGCTCATTGATTTGTTCTTGAGATAAGGTCCCACCACTTCCAAAAGAAACGTATAAAACAGAGCTTGGTGGTTGATTCTCCAACCACTTCAGACACTCTGACCCGTTTTCTTCACCATTTAACCCGGTTTGAGTGATGGGTCCGATCGGATACACAGGCGGATAACCACTTTCTTTCTTTGTCAAGGCTCTTACAGCACTTTCTTCCATCTCCGTGAAGGTGTTAACCAATAATCCATCAACAGATAACAATCTCTTGGTCCGTTGAAGAAACGATGCGTAAGACTCACTGGACCGATTTTGAACCGGGTCAGGGAGATCTCTTCCATAGATTGGGACACAACCTGGGATCTGGATAGGTTGTGGTACGTCTCTGAACTCACCAGAAATCTCTTCTTGGAGAGTTGGGAGATAGAAGCAGAAGGAAAGAGTTGAAGCAGCTGAAGGGAAGTAAATGAAAGACAAAGTATTGAGTTCCTTTGCAAAGCTTAATACCTCACCTGCAAAAGGGTCTGCAACTATGGCGGCCAAATGAGATTTGGAATTCAAGGACTTCAATTCGTGGTGTAAAGATGGCAAAGATTTGGCGATCGTGAGTTGAATTTGGACTGACATGTGGACATCTTTAGGCAGGTCTTGTTTGGAGATAGGAGGAAGAAAGATGGATTGGATGTTTGGAGGAAGATTCTGAAGGTAGGCTATGGAGGAAGGAGGAGGAGATTCTAGTGAGGGGATGATGAAAGTGACATGAAAATCTGGGTGAACATGAACAAGTCGCTTGGAGAACTCAAGAACAGGAATCAGATGGCTAAATCCAGGACTGGGAACAACGGCCACGTGTGTTGTTTTCTCCATGGAAATTTCAAAACAAAACCTTGAGATCGATGAAGACTTGGATCGACGTTTGAAAATTCGTTGATTTCTAGGTTTGGAGTCTTCGGGATTTGATGCGCTTTATATAGAAGACAGGTTATGCTGTGATTTTTTTTTGCCTGAAGTTTATGCTGTGATTACTTGTGTGGAAAGCTTGTCTTTTTAACCGTAGAAATTTCTCTACATGCCTAGGAAGTCGTGGGACCCCGCGGCAGGTTGTTTTTTCTCTTCGATTCTGGTGCTCCAAATTGTGATTCAAAGTGGACGTAAGTGCTGATGTAAGTGATCACGTAGATTGGTATTTCTATATAATAATTCTCCGACATTTCTTTTCTTGGGCGGCAAGAGTATCAAGTATTAAAAAACAAGATATAATTGGATACATGAACTGCTTTGGTTACAAATTAAACATTGAACTGGCCACCTTGATCTGGAAACAGGATTTCCAAAGAAAAAGCGACTTTACTGATTGAACTTCAAAGAACATCTGGTTCCCCTTTTGTTCCCCCCCCCCCCCCTCTTCCTTTCAACTTAACAATTCAACAAAGGCTTAAATTTGTAATCTCCCTCAAACAGATTAGGTGCTTAAAGTGTCCAAAAGTTTCAAGTTTTGACTTTTGCCGCAAATAATTATGGAGTTCGATGCCAAAAAAGAAAGGGGGAACCGATTGCAACAAATTTTTTTCCATCAAACTTTTGTTTTTTTTTCCGCGAATTAAAGTACTCATCTGATTCTTAATATAGGATCTAATTATTAAGTTAATTTTGATTTTAAATATAAGATATATTTCTCATATTTATTAATTTTTCTTAAATTACCCCTATGAATATTCCCTCAATCATAATCAAGTGAGTGAGATAAGAAGGCTATTAAGAAAGATGATTATAGTGTTTTAAGAAAAACATGTTATATTTCTTATAATTAACTAACTTACCTAATTTTCTTAATCTAATTAAATTAGTTAAATAGATTTTATATTAAGAATCGGAGGAGTAACATTCATGCAAAACTTTTCAGAGTATTTGTGGGAATAATGATTTGCTCCATCTTTATTTGTATTGTATTTCTCTGACGGCACCACGGTTCAATTTTGGGTGTAGTGGTAATTTCATCATTTTGGTAAATTTTCCATTTTTGGTTTCATTAAGATTTTTTCCCAAAAATTTAGATTCTCCCGTTTGTTAGTGAATTAAATTAACCAAATGAAGGAATAGTTTTAGTTTATTTTTCTATGGTAATAAAACTCAGCTTGCAAGGCTTTTTGCAAATTACATGAAAAAATCACGAAGTTGAAGGGGAAAAAGAGGGAAAACTTAAGCTTTAGTGCTTTAATATTTTTTATTCTTAGTACGTATCTCTTGTAAGAAGTTTAGATAGCTTAATTCTTGCATGAAAAATTGGTTTTCAAAGTCTTAAAATAGATTTTTTTTTATAATTTCCGTTTACAAAATTTCATAGCAATCTAAATGTTATTTCCCATAGATTTATACTTAAAACTGAATCTCCATGTCTAATGCGTTAGCTGTACTTCATAAAAACTTGTTTTTCACCTCAGAAACTTCACTTGTTATCCATGTCTTTAAACATTGTTTGCTTTTCAAAAAATATTTAATGCGTCATTCTATCTACTCAAATTATATAGTTTAAATTTATTTCTTAGAAACCCCATTAACATGCTAACTAGAATTCCCTAACAAGTCTGACTGGCTTAACTGTCATAAAGCGCATTAAAAATTCTTAAATTTAAGTTGGTGATTAGATGTGATTCAACTTCGTTCTTATTTCATCACATTCGATGAACCTTCTCTTGTTAAAATTTAATACAATGGTCATGGCCCCTCTAGAAAAGAATCTAGAAGACCAATCTACGTGCTCACTTACATCATCACTTCCATTAATTTGACTCAAATTTGGACCTTGAGAATCAAAGGCAAAGAGGAAAACAGCCGCCCCGTTGGTCCCACCACATCCTAGGCTGCCGGTCGGTAGAGAAGCCTCTAAATAGGTGGTGTTTGGCAAACTTGCCAAACTTACTTTTAGATCCCAAACCATAGTTTGGTCCAAAAAGTTGCCAAACACCCTATATTTTTAATAAAACTATAGTTTGGCTTAAAAATTATGGTTTGATCCACTTAAATTATGGTTTCATAAAAAGCAAAAAAGAAAAAAGTGCTTTTTGAAAATATGGTCCTTTTTTTGTTTACATTGTAATACTACCTCTGGTCCTTAATAGAAGAGCTAGTTAATTAATTTTATTAAGTTAAAAAAACTAGTTAAATTAGTTATTTGTAATAAATAGGTGTTGTATTTCCTAAAATATTCTTTCTAATCACGTGTATTAGCTAGAAGTACCATTTGATGAAACATTTAATATGTATAACTATTATAATGACTACTTTAAAATATATATATAAATATGAGAAACAAAATAGATTGAAATTTTATATTTAGAATCAAATTGAATATCAAAATAGTTCTTATATTAAAATTGGAGGTGGTATGTTGTTAAAAAAAATTAGTTGTGAAAAAATGTTATGGGATTTCAAGTTTAAAATCTTTAAGGCAAAATAATATTTTTCTGTTGGCAAAAAATAATTATTTTTCTAAAAAAATATTTAATCTTATATTTTATAAATACACATACACATATTAATTATTTATTAATTGCGTTTTTTATATATTATTTATTATGTTGGCAAAAAATATATTATTAACAAATTTATTACTTCAAATAAAAATATATTATAAAATCTATCTTTTATGTAATTATTATATTAACTTATATCCTTTTTATGGGGTGTTTGGATGAAACCAAACCATAGTTTGGAGAATAGATTCTGAGGAGAATAGATTTTGTGCAAAATAGATTTTGTAAAAAAGTTATTCTGATAAAGTGAGGGTGTTTGGATAGTTGTTATCAAAAGCACTTTTTACAAGTGCAAATTACTAAAAAAAGCATAAGTTAATATGATAATTATATAAAGAATAAATTTTATAATATATTTTAATTTGAAGAAATAAAATTATTAATAAAATAATTTTTACTAACATAATTAATAATATATAAGATAATATAATTAATAAATAATTAATATGTGTATATATATTTATAAATTATAAGATTAAATATGTTTATAGAAAAATGATTCTTTTCTAGCAGAAAAAATATTAATTTGCTTTAAAAATGTGAATATATATATATGTGTATATATATTTAAAAATGTGAAGGACCGAAGGCTCCTGATAGAGTGAAGTACTGAAGGCTTTTGATGGGTTGAAGAAAGGAGTGAATAATTGAGGGCTGATTTGTCCTGCAACGTTAGGGCCCACACTAACAGCTACAAATTTTTTTTTCACCTGTTTGGGAATCTCTGGACCAAAACCATGGTTTGAGGTGATATCCAAACAGCCCCTTAGTAATTTATACATATAAAAAGTGTTTTTGATAACAACTATTTAAATAGTGTAATTTTATCAGAATCATTTTTCCATAAAATCTATTCTTTCAAAATCTATTTTCAAAAATAACTTTTCTCCAAAAAAGTTATTCTCCAAATTATGTTTTGGAAAACCCCCCCTAATGGTTTGGATAACACATCTTCTATATAAGCCCATCAAATCTTGAAAGACATCAAACCCAGAAATCAACAAATTTACAAGTGTCAATCCAACTCTTCATCGATCTTAAGGCTTTGTTTCCAAATTTTCATGGAGAAAACAACACACATAGCTGTTGTTCCCAGTCCCGGCTTTAGCCATCTGATTCCTGTTCTTGAGTTCTCCAGGCGACTTGTTCATCTTCACCCAGATTTCATGTCACATTCATCATCCCCTCACAAGAATGTCCTCCTTCTACCTCCATAGCCTACCTTTAGAATCTTCCTTCAAACATCCAATTCAGTTTTCTTCCTCCAATCAACAAACAAGACCTGCCCAAAGATGCTAACTTAGCAGTCCAAATTCAACTCACAGTGGCCAAGTCTTTGCCATCCCTACAGCATGAATTGAAGTCCTTGAATTCCAAGTATCGTTTGGCTGCTGTAGTTGCAGACCCTTTTGCAATTGAGGTACTAAGTTTCGCAAAGGAACTAAACATTTTATCTTTCATTTACTTCTATTCAGCTGCTTCAACGCTTTCCTTCTGCCTCTATTTTCCGATCCTCCACGATGAGATATCTAGTGAGTTCAGAGACGTACCAGAACCTATTCAGATCCTAGGTTGTCTCCCACTCTATGGTGAAGATTTCCCAGACCCGGTTCAAACTCGGTCCAGTGAAGCTTACACAATGTTTCTCCGACGAAGCAAGACTTTGTTATCTGTTGATGGCTTATTGGTTAACAGCTTCACGGAGATGGAAGAAACGACTATGAGATCCTTGATACAGAAAGAAAGTGGTTATCCACCTGTGTATCCGATCGGACCCATCACTCAAACCGGGCCAGACAGTGAAGAAAACGGGTCTGAGTGTCTGAAGTAGTTGGAGAATCAACCACCTGACTCTGTTCTATACGTTTCTTTTGGAAGTGGTGGGACCTTATCTCAAGAACAAATCAATGAGTTGGCTTTTGGCTTGGAACTGAGTGGCCAGAGGTTCTTATGGGTTCTTAGAGCACCAAATAAGTCGGTGAATGCTGCTTACCTTGGTTCTACAAATGAGAATCCTTTAGATTTCTTACCAGAAGGTTTCTTGGAGAGAACCAAAGAGCAAGGTTTTGTTATTCCTTCTTGGGCACCTCAAGTTTCAATCCTGAGACATGGTTCCATTGGTGGGTTCTTGAGTCATTGTGGTTGGAACTCCACACTTGAGAGTATACAGAAGGGAGTGCCAATAATTGCCTGGCAACTGTTTGCAGAGCAGAAGATGAATGCTGTTTTGTTAACTGATGGTCTTAAGGTTGCTTTGAGGCCTAAAGTGAATGAAAATGGCTTAGTAGAGAGGGAGGAGACTGCTAAATTGGTAGAGTTTGATGGAAGGTGAAGAAGGTAAGGAGATTCGTAAGAGAATGAAGGATTTAAGGTATGCTTCTGATAATGCACTCAAAGCAAATGGTTCTTCTACAAAGGCGCTATCT